ACAGAGCCTCAGCTGTTCATACTGTTTTTAGCTAGCTACACAGACCGCAGCCAGGAGGCAGTGACAACTGAAGACTGGCATGGTCATTTGAACAAAGTTGTTAACGTAATTAAATTGAATTCAACACGGCTAAATTAATAATTGGAATGATTTTAAGTGGTAACTATATATTTATCATAGTAATGCTACGTACAGTCCAGACTAAAATGGTAGCGAACAACTACAAGTACTTATCTCTGAGGTAGAAAAATAATAATTTTCAGGTTCAATATGTCTGTGGTGTTAGCGGGAGATATTAGCCTAGTCATCTATCCTGAATCTTGTTTCTGGATGACTGGACTAACCTAAAATGACCAATACTGGAACAACAAAATGCAGTTTAACATCCAACTATGTGAAATAAGCAGTAAAGTGTAATGTGGTGTGTACAGTAAGTATAATACATAGAATATGAAAGATATGACAGAGCTAAGGTTTTAAAAGCAGGCCTAATTTATTGAATAAACAGTCAATATAAACAGTAACAATCTTTCAAAATATGTCTTTGTGTCCTTTATAGGCAGTAGTGAGTGATGTCAGGAAAATGGTGCAAATTCAAAACTTTTCAAAACTGGCTTTTTGCTAGCCCCAAGACTCTCTGTCTCTGTGTTGGGGTTTACCCCGGGGGACGAGAGGGTAGCTTCCCTGCGCCTTCGGGTCGGGGAACGGGTCCTGACTGTTGTTTGCACTTATGGGCCAAATATCAGTTCAGAGTACCCACCCTTTTTGGAGTCCCTGGGACGAGTGCTAGATAGTGCTCCATCAGGGGACTCCATTGTCCTGCTGGGGGACTTCAATGCTCACGTGGGCAATGACAGCTTGACCTGGAGGAGTGTGATTGGGAGGAATAGTCCGCCTGATCCGAACTCGAGAGGTGGTTCGTTATTGGACTTCTGTGCAAGCCATAACAAACACCATGTTCGAACATAAGGATGCCCTTTGGTACACTTGATACCAGGGCAGCCTAGGTCGCAGGTCGATGATAGACTTTGTAGTCGTATCATCTGACCTGCGGCCGAATGTTTTGGACACCCGAGTGAAGAGAGGAGCGGAGCTGTCAACTCATCACCACCTGGTGGTGAGTTGGATCAGATGGCAGGGGAAGATGCTGCGTAGACCTGGCAGACCCAAACGCATAGTGAGGGTCTGCTGGGAACGCCTGGCAGAAGAACCTGTCAAGACGGTCTTCAACTCCCACCTCCGGCAGAGCTTTGACCGCGTCCCGAGAGCAGTGGGGACATTGACTCCGAGTGGGCCTTGTTCCACTCTGCGATTGTTTAGGCGGCTGTTGCTAGCTGTGGTCGCAAGGTGGCCGGTGCCAGTCGTGGTGGCAACCCCCATACCCGCTGGTGGACACCAGAGGTTCGGGGAGCCGTCAGGCTGAAGAAGGAGGCCTACAGGGCGTGGCTTGTCTGTGGGTCTCCGGAGGCAGCAGACAGGTACCGGATAGCCAAGCGGGGTGCAGCAGTGGCAGTTGCCGAGGCAAAATCTCGGGCGTGGGAGGAGTTTGGTGAGTCCATGGAGAAAGACTATCGATCGGCTCCAAAGAGGTTCTGGCAAACTGTCCGGCGCCTCAGGAGAAGAAGGCAGCAACTCGCTTACACTGTTTACAGTGGGGATGGGGAGCTGCTGATGTCAACTGAGGCTATAGTCGGACGGTTGAAGGAATACTTTTAGGAGCTCCTTAATCCCACCTATGCGCATTCCTAGGAGGAACCAGAGCCGGGAGACCTGGGGATGGACTGTCCAATCTCGGGGGCAGAAGTTGCTGAGGTAGTCAAACAACCACACAGTGGTGGAGCCCCCGGGGCAGATGAGGTTTGTCCTGGGTATCTCAAGGCTATGGATGTTGTAGGGCTGTCAAGGTTGACACGTCTCTGCAACATTGCGTGGTCATCGGGGCAGTTCCCGTGGAGTGGCAGACCGGGGTTGTGGTCCCCATCTTTAAGAAGGGTGACCTGAGGGTATTTTCCAACTATAGGGGGATCACACTCCTCAGCCTCCCTGGAAGGGTCTACTCCAAGGTACTGGAGAGGAGGGTCCGATCGATAGTTGAATCTCAGATTGAGGAGGAGCAATGTGGTTTTCGTCCTGGCCGTGGAACTGTGGACCAGCTCTATACCCTTGCAAGGGTGATGGAGGGGGCATGGGAGTTTGCCCAACCAATCCACATGTGTTTTGTGGATTTGGAGAAGGCTTATGACCGTGTCCCCAGGGGCTGTCTGTGGGGGACGCTCCAGGAGTATGGGGTGGGTGGCTTTCTGTTAAGGGCCATTCAGTCCCTTTACCAGAGGAGCGTGAGTTAGGTCCACATAGCTGGTAGTAATTCGGACCTGTTCCCGGTGAGGGTTGGGTTCTGCCAGGGCTGCCCTTTGTCACCGGTTCTGTTTATTACCTTTATGGACAGAATTTCTAGGTGCAGCCGTGGTGTGTCGAGATTGGTGGCAGGAGAATCTTGTCTTTGCATTTTGTAGATGAAGTGGTCCTCCTAGCTTCATCCAGCTCTGACCTTCAGCTCTTGCTGGGTAGGTTCACAGCCAAGTGTGAAGCAGCTTGGAATGCTGCTTGGAAACGACCAAATTCAAAGATCTATATAGACACAAAATATTTTGCAGAAAAAAATCTAAACTAAAATATAAAAAAATGAAATCACCAATGGTAATAGTTTATTGTATATTGTGCTTGCCTTTGCTCTCAGAGATTTAAAATACCATGATCTGACTCCTCTAACATTCATGAACTCACCACAGGGAAAGGTGTTTTTGGAATCTCATGTCTTATAGTTTCTTAAATAAATGTAAATGAACCCTTTACACCGTCTACAGGTGGTTCAGAATGCCTGTGCTCGGCTTCTGACAAGTCCTCCAAACACACCCACATCACCCCGCTTCTCCTCCAGCTTCACTGGCTGCCAGTCAACTTCAGGGTTCATTTCAAGATCCTGGTTCTGGTCTATAGGGCCTCACATGGACAAGCACCATCTTACATTGGTGATCTTCTTAGTCCCTACACCCCCAGCAGGTCCCTGAGGTCCAGTGATCAAAGCCTACTGGTTGTGCAGCACCAGGCTAAAGACATTTGCTGCTGTGGCCCCCAGACTCTGGAACTCTCTCCCCCTGAGGAGAGAGGGAACCCCTCAGGTTCCCTGAGCCTGAGATCAGTGGACTCAGTGGTCTCCTTTAAAAAGTAGCTGAAGACTCGCTTGTTCAGGCTGGCTTTTGTATGACCTTCATCACCCTCTCCTTGTTCTGTTCTCCCTACCTATTCCACCTTCCTCAGGATCCACTGATTTCCCTCTTTCCTGTTCTCTCTCTCTCTTTCTTTACATTTTTAATCACAATTGTCTATTTTTTGCTCATTTTAAATATTTTTTACAATTTTCTAAATTCTTTTTTATATTTTTACATTTTTTGTTTTTTGTGAAATTCCTCGTGATTTTTATCTTGAGAGGCACAATGGAAAAGATCTTTTCTTCTTCTTCTTCAGAATAAAATCAGGGAAAAACCTGCTGGATTGTGGTACTCCAGGACCAGGATTGCCTAACCCTGCTTTAATGAGACGTTCAGAACTATAACAGCAAGATGGAAAACAACTACATTTCCGCTAAAGCTGGAGACACATTACCATAATGAGTTTAGTAAGAGCTCCCTACTATAAAACACCCAAGAGTGCTAACACCAGATTTGACATTCTACTTAACTGATTGTCTATGACTGGTCTTCACTCGTCATGTGGAATATTGTGGTGATCTGCAACCGACAACACCCATGATACTCACACAACAGCATTGAGAAAGTGACATTTTGTTGTTCAAAATGGGCTGCAGTAACTAAATTGGACCACAGGATAATTCCTAATTAGGCTGAGTTAACAATATGTTATAAACAGGATTAATATTAGTAAGTGTATAATGTGGTGTGTTATAAAATGCATGTTCCTTAGAAAAACAGTTGTAAAAAAGGAAAACTGTAAAGGAAACTGACATCACAAATAGAATGTTTCCCAAAATAGTTCAGCCCAACCCACAATAACAGATTAGAATAAACATCTAACCTACTCATGTTGTAAAAATAAACAGCTACTAGCAGCAATGGAAGAGGAAGGAGAAATGACTTTTTAACATCTCACAAGTAAAAATCGTGAGGTGTTTCACAAGAGCAAAAAATTTATGAATTCAATTCAATTCAAGTTTATTTATAAAGCGCCAAATCACGACAAGAGTCGTCTCAAGGCACTTCACATAATAAACATTCCAAAAATAAGATTAAAAATATCGTAATTAAAAATGGGGAAAACAGAAAAATTTAAACATAAGAAATGAGAAAGAAGAAAGAAAAGGAATAAGAAACGGTAATATGGGGTCCCAGGAAAGATAAAACAGGTAAACAGCAGCATGATGAGAAAGGAGTCAGTAAGAATCAACAGGAGGTCACAGCAAAGCCAGCCTGAGAAGATTAAAGGAGAACACTGAGTCCACTGATACCCCTGAAAAACTAAGGGGTCTGAGTAATAGTTTGTCAGATTATGTTTTGTATGATAATCTTACAGAGATTAGCGTGCTTAAATTATGATTTTTCAGAGAAAAACCTGGTTTCCTGTTAGAAAAAGACAGAAATATGCTTCCACTTTTTTATGAATCATTCTGCAAATGTTGCTTTTTGTTTGTGTACCTCGGCACGTGCGTTAGCCATATGTTTGGATTACTCAAATAATTTGTATCCAGTAGTTTTTAACTTTTTTTTCTTTACCAACATTCATAGCTTTTATCTTCTGGTTTTATTTGTTTTTATGTGTATTTTTTTATCTTTGGCCATTGAAAGGGTCAGTGATGTTTTACATTTTCTATGCATGTACAGCGCTGTGGTTCACCAACTGGCAGACAGATGATGTATCTGAGTGGGCTTTACTCGTAAAGGATAGTCTAACTGAATGAAGTCTTGTTGTGTTTGATCCTCATGCAGCCCTGGTAGCAGAGGAGCGGGTTCGTCAGCTCCAAATGAGGGTTCATTCTAATCGGACCACAGCTGTCTCCACAACCAGCCAGCAGGACCTGGACCGAGCCCTCAAGAACAAACGAGAGGTGGATCTCTGCCTTGTTGGACACACACTTCTCTATGTTCAGGCAGCCTGATTCAGAACGACCATCCAACACACACACTCAGCTCTACTTGTCTCAATATTATCATGGATCAGTTTGAATCTGTTCTTTCGGTAATCGGTTTAAACCTTCTTCAGTGCAATTGCAAGTAGCATCTTCGATCCTCCGCGTGTCGGTTCTTTCATAGACAAGGCAAGGCGTCTTTATTATGTCATGCACAGAGGCAAGTCAGCGTACTTTCCATTAGCAAACGCTGAAATCAACCTGACAGAAAATACAATTTAAAAATTAAGGAGAGACAAATAAAGTTAAAGGGAGAGCAGTTACAGTGCAGAAGGTGCAGCATAAGAACATGTATTCAAAGGCTGATGAAAACATGAAGGTTTTCAATCTTGATCTAAAAGTTTCTAGTTGGGGCACATCTGAGGTCATGAGGAAGCTGATTCCATCTGTGAGCAGCATAGCAGCTAAAAGCAGCTTCACCCTGTTTGGTTCTGACCCGAGGTTCTACCAGCTGACTGTTTCCTAAGGATCTCAGAGCCCTGATGGGCGTAGATACCTGAAGGAGATCTGACATGTATTCTGGCCCCATGCCATGGAGTGATTTATAAACTAGTAGGAGCACTTTGAAATGGATTCTGTAGTTTACTGGTAACCAGTGTAGAGATTTAAGAGCAGGAGTGACGTGCTCCGTTCTCTTAGTTCTTGTTAAGACTCTAGCAGCAGCATTCTGAACAAGCTGCAGTTGCTTCACAGCTTTTTGGGAAGACCAGTTAGGAGATGTTCAATTCAATTCAGTTTAATTCAATTAAATTCAGTTCAATTCAATTCAAAAATACTTTATTAATCCCAGAGGGAAATTCAATTGTTTCAGTACACACAATTGTGAGATCAGACATACATACATAGACACATGACAAGAATTGGTGACTGTGGTCATTCGCAACACGAGTCGCGCTACCGTTATAGATCAAGAGGGTTTATATGATAATAGAGTCACGGGGGAGGGGAAAAAAGGCACTTCAGAGTTACCCTCCACAGAGAGGGCAGCTTTGCTATGCAAAAAAAAACCAAAAAAAAACACCTCAGACAGATGTGCACACAGACTTCAGACATTACACAACATAAGTGTCCACTAGGTGGGGAGGTAGGGTTGGGACTCTCCTCACTTCAGGGCGTGCAGCCGCAAGAGCAGCGCTCATCACCTCTGTTTGGACAGGGGAGGGAGATAATGGGTTAGAGAGCACAGTGACTCCTAGATACGGTTCCACGGCCTTCACTGGTCACAGTCCCGCCCAGGCTGGGATAGGGAGAAAGGGTTTCCATAGCAACAGCAGCATTCCACATTTCTTCTGAGGGGGGAGTTTTCACTTCAGCCTCACAGGCTTCAAGGGCACCAGATTCAGATGGCAAGAATTGTTTTGGGTACAGACAGAGATAATTTCCCCTCTGCCTTAGAGTTCTGTTGGTCTTCAACCCCTCCAGGTCCAATAATGGCGTGATCAATCTATTCCAATCCATGCTGATCCGTCAGCGCTCTCCTTGATCGAATCCTCCTTCTGTGCCAGAGCCTGAATCTCAGCCAAATTTCCAAGCCTACGACTCATCTCGACAATTATATGAGTTTGTGAGTTTACAGCGCGATGCATTCCATCCCTGAGCTCCGGGATTGAGCCAATATTCCTCAAAAGCTCGTTCATTTTCCGTTAAGCCAGGTAACCGCTCAGGCCAAACAGCAAGAAACCTGACACCAACACCCAGGGCTGCCAACTCTCGTGCACTGAGCGTGAGACACACGCATTTGAACCTCTTCACACGCTCTCACGCCACACCTCCAATATCACGCTAAACCAGCGCCTGCGCTCCCCAAACGCACAGTGCATAGGGCTTACAAAAAATACAATTAAAAATCCAGATTATAATAATTATAGCATTAGCTACTGAACAACGTGCACACAAACAACACTTAAGTAACAATTTAACTGGCGTTATTTCACACACAGAATCCCATCTGTATAATCCAAGGCGATGTGCTTTTTCCCGCTCTGGTGGTGAGATGGGCGGAGCGGTGAGCTCCACCTGCTGTTGATGGGATGGGCATGCGTGGTTCTCCCAGAACCGTGAGTTGCAGCTGCGCGCGCCACCAAAATGACATGCTTTATTTAGAAATGCAGCCGCGCCGCCAGCCGGTGTTGACGGAGCTTCAGTCCCGAATGTTTCTCTTTTGTTTTCACTCATCAGCCACAGATCCTCACTCACAGCAAGCTGGGCGTCCTACCGTGGTGACTCACTCACATGCTCCCTCCCCTACATTTGTTGGTGACGCGGTGAATTAAAACTTTAGGACTCCTAGAATTTTAATTCACCGTTTCACCAGTTTGTTTTTCCTGTTTGTGACACGAATTCCTCCTCCGTACCAGGTTAATGGTACGGAAGCCTGGAAAGGCCAAAATTCCTCAAACGCTTTTTTTCCTACTGGCTGATATGAATTAATATAATAGAATAGCGTAAATTTTATTAGTCCCACAGTGGGGACATCCACTCGTTACAGCAGCACACACTTAGAGACACAGATTACAGTAAAACTGATTCCAGCCATGTTTGCTTTGATAACTTCATTAACTTCATGCTGATGACCCGCATGAACATAATCCTGTTTAGTGGATGCAACTACATCAATGAAGTTAGCTTAACGTGATAGATTTTTTTTCTTGGCAGGAAATAATAACTGGTAATACTATGAATGACATGATGTTGCCCACCCCTAGATGGAATTTAAACATGTACATGAATTATAATTAAAAGTTCCTGTGTGACATTTAGCTGTAACTCTTTACTGCTGACAGACAGACAGATAGATAGATAGATAGATAGATAGATAGATAGATAGATAGATAGATAGATAGATAGATAGATAGATAGATAGATAGATAGATAGATAGATAGATAGATAGATGGATAGATAGATAGATAGATAGATAGATAGATAGATAGATAGATAGATAGATGATAGATAGATAGATAGATAGATAGATAGATAGATAGATAGATAGATAGATAGATAGATAGATAGATAGATAGATAGATAGATGATAGATAGATAGATAGATAGATAGATAGATAGATAGATAGATAGATAGATAGATAGATAGATAGATAGATGATAGATAGATAGATAGATAGATAGATAGATAGATAGATAGATAGATAGATAGATGATAGATAGATAGATAGATAGATAGATAGATAGATAGATAGATAGATAGATAGATAGATAGATAGATAGATAGATGATAGATAGTGTGAAGAAGTTCAGGGGAGATGGATGTTAAATTTTCCTCACGAAAAGAAAATTTGTATTAAACAAAGGTCAGTTCCCTCTGTAAAGTCAGAGTTACAGAAGAGGATGAGGGCAACTGAAAAAAAGAAAAGAGAGAGAATTCTGACTTTTTTTCCCAGAATTCCCTGTCAGAATTCCGACATTAAAAGTCCGAATTCTTAGAAAAAAGTAAGAATTCTCTTTCTTTTTTTTTTTCTCATCAGCGGCTCTAATCCTCTTCTGTAAAGAGTAGAAATACATAAATAAAATGTAGAGCACAAAAAGTCTCAATAATAATACCCCCCCCCCCCCCAAACGATCGGCGAATTGTCCGCTCCCAACCCCATCTCACTCTTTTGAATGTTTAAAAGTTGGCAGCCCTGAACACCACGAATATCCAGACATCTTCAGAATCCTCTACAGACAGTTGAGAGATGCAGATCAGGTTCCACAGTTTCCAGGAGTCCATGGTATGCCCAGCTGGCTCTGTCCCAGAGGGGCATCCAGGAGCCCCTTCTCCCATTCTCATCATTGAAAAAATTTTGTCAATCGCATTGAGAAACCAACTGACCAGATCCATTTTTAATAATTTCCAGTTTCCAGAGAAAAAAATGCAGAAAGCTTCATGCACAGGCAGACAGGACAGAGAGCCTTGGGAGGAGGAGGGAGGGAGAGGAGAAAAAAGCGCCTGTACTCTCCAAGAGCCGGAAGAAGAAAAGGTTAAGATGGGAAACACCACAACCTGAAATGAATCACACCAGGAGACAGGACGGAGAGTAAGATCTTTAGCTGCAGTGGAGGAGATACGAGTCAATGAGAATTGACGTGAGTGTGATACAAGATACCACCGTATTCTCCCCAAGTCTGACTCTGTTATTATCAAAACACACAAAGGGGTATCAATGCTGAACCAATCACTAGACACAGCCTCCCTTCTCTAACCACTTATAAACTGTTGCTGCCCATGGGCGGTGATCTTCTTTGGCAGGGCCTGCCTCATGACTGGAACCAGGTCTTCCTCTTCATGTCACATCCAAGAAGTCAGATGCTGTTAGTCACGAGGTCAGAAGAATGTCAGTCATGAGTTCAGCTTTCTTCAGTCTTAGTGCAGGCCTTTGTGCTTAAAAAGGGAACATTTCATTATGGTTATAAAACTTAACGGGAGACCATTGCAATAGTCCAGCCTGCTGGAGATGAACGCATGAATGAGTTTCTCTACGTCTTGTCTGGACACGAGACCCCTGATGATAAAACGCTGATAGTTCTAGCCTTAATGTGACCAGTGAAGCTCCGGCCTGAATCAGTTAAGACACCAAGGTTTCTTAGTGCCAGAGGCGGCAATGGAATATACCAGAATGCTTTCTATGAAATTATTTTTGGCTTTGTAAAAAATTTTATTAAATTTAAAAAAGCTGCAGTTTATTAGCTAAACGAGAATCTAACAATAAAATTCAAAACAGAACGATTTTTTTAATCGTTTCCAGCAAAGTTGACTATCTTGTAAGATAGAAAGGGGGCACCATCATGTGTGAAAAAGGTGAAGATGGCTGGACACACCTGTGCTCTGGATTATGGATGATGACATCTGGTATCGTACCCTGACATTCTATGGTCTGTTAGTGAGAAATCAAATGTTAGTAGTTGTGCAATGTAAGCATTGCCC